TGTGTGTTCTTGTGGCAACCGAGCTAATGGCCTAGGCAAGAGTGTTGTGGACCTTTTGTTCTATTTTAATATTATAAATTAAATTAAATTCTTTTAATATGACCGGTCCAACCCCTGGTTTGACTAGTGACCCTTGACTCACTACCTTGACTGGTTCAGTTTCCAGTCTGGTTTTTTGTTTCTTGTTAAAAACTACCAAAGTTAATGTTCTAACAAAAGCAAGTCTATCTAACTCAACACTACCTCCTATCTTAATAATTTCATTCATAGTTTACAAATAAAGTCTTATAACTAGGATCGGAAGTAGTATATTTTATCAGATTAGGTTGGATTCACATAAATACATACATAATATATACTATCTTAAATACAAGATCTGTTGTATAATACAAATCTTGTACAAAACAGATTTTATATTTAAGACCAAAAGTAACTTATATTCAGGTCCAAATTTGAAATTCTACCCATAATTTTAGCTTCTAGTTTAGACCGACTTGGCTCGTGGGTCAACAGTCAGAAGATCTAAAGGCTGGGACCAGTGCAAAAGGGTAGACACCCACCTCTTGATGAGATGATGGTGATTTACTGATTTACGAAATAATTCTTTTTGTTTTAATGACAAATGGGGCTAAAGCCCATAAAATCAACTATAAACCACCTAGAATGCAGCAAAAATCACATTAGTTTATGAATTCAAATATTTGTAAGATCATAAATTAACAATAACATATGATAACAATTCTCTTTTGCATAAAAAACACGAAAAAACAATCTCGCATAATCAATCAAGTTTTAGTGAGGCTGAGTCGGAAAATGGAACACTCATATTAGTTTTTTTTTATTTTATATAAGCGCAAATATATGTTACTAAAAAACTGTCAAACGCTAAATCTAAACATTTTTTTATTGAAAAATTCAAAACTTAATTCACTTGAAGAACTAATTTTTTAATTCATATTATGTTACTACTCTTCCGGTCCTACATATAAAATCTTTATACTAGTGTGTCAAAAAATCTTATATTTAGGATCAGAAGAGTACATCGTATCAGATCACCTGTTGTATACAGTCAATGGATAGAATCGTGGCGTGTTGTTTACTTGTTTAGCAGTTTAAGTCAAGAGTGTTGTAACCAGTGAATAACTTTTTCTTTTCTTTTCTTTTTTTCTTTTCCTATTTTACAGCAAGTGGCTGGCTATGGCAGAAAAGAAAAAGAAATGAAGGAAGATGCGATGTTATTCAGGAGGGATACAACCTTTTTTTCTTGTTTTTGGGCTTTTAGAGCCCCCCGGGGACGTCACAACCGACAGGGAAACTGGAAAGGCAAGAATCCGAGTGGGATGCCTGCGAAGTCCAACGTCAGCCACCTCACAAGTCACCACCGCTCAACCCATTATATATCCAAATCAGTCTTCTTTCTAGAAAAGCAGCGATTTTTTCCTCTCTTTTATTTTTGTGTTTTTTTGACTGGAAATCAAGACCATGTAAATTTCTATTACATAAAGAACTTACAGAAGAAAACAATAATGGGTAAAATCACATATATCATCTATCATTCATTGCCTTTCGATAATAATATGTAAGAAGGTGATCAAAAGCACAAAAATCATCCAATGGAATGAAGACATCCGTTAGCTTTCTAATAGACATAATTTTTCCAAATCCCTATTCCGCAACAACCTTGCTTGACCAATTAAGTCTTGGTGGGGATTGGTATGTACTTTATTATCTTTAATCAAGTTGATACCTTCTAAATATGTTTTTTTGATAAGCACCTTCTAAATATGTTATTAAAACTAAATATTACTGAACTAATCTTTTAATCGATCTGATCAAAGAATTTTGGATATACTTCTCTAGTCCTATTTATAGGGCAGTAAAAAGACTTTTTTTGTCCTATTTATAAGGTACTGAAAGAAATTTTTTGTATAGATGTATAATTTTACCCTTCATTTATTATTGTGTTTACTTTGTTTACATGGGATATAATACATATTAAATAGAGATAAAATTGAAAAGTTGTTAAATTTTAAGTGAAAGTCAATGAAATTTAAGATTTTTCTTGGTTTGTGTGAAACATATTGAAATTGACTTGTAAATAAAACTAAAAGAGTATTAATCAGGTTGAATTTTATATTTCATTCTCTTATTGAGCTAGAAATGTCATCTTTTTAATGAATCAAAAATTAAAAAAATAGCAATCCACCATATTTTTGTTTTATCATTTCTATTTTGTTGGATTAATACATTTTTTATTTAAAAATTATTCGTTCTAGAGCCATATGTGAATTTTTTATATTTTAATTAAATTACATTATATTAATTATGATTAAATTAACATCAATTCAACTAGACTTGAAGTGAACTACTTTTTCGACTGATTATGGTTGGCTGTTAAATAGTTTACACATATATGACAAACTTCTCCAATCTTTTGTTCCAACTTAATAAACCGATTTCAAGTTATTAATTAATCCTATCAGCTCAATTATAACAGGCGTGTAATGGTATCTCACTGATGACCCGCACCCAACAAACGAGGCCTTATTGGCTCTCTGCCTAAGTTGCAAAGGAAAGGTCCAAAACACATCTTAGAAAAGAGTTTAATCAAATTTAAGTTGATCTTAATATCAACAGAGTTGGGTCTAACAAAAAAAAAACCCTCATAGCATAGTGAACTAAGATTTGAATCTTCACTGAAAGAGATACTTATATTTAGTACCTAATAGGCTAATAATACCTCGAACATAATTATTTTTGATAGAAAGATACCTATGCCTGGAAGAAAAAAAAGGTCCTAATTTGGCATTAAAACCTAGTGCCTGCTGTGATTTGCTATCCCTTGTAACTCCACCACATGTACTTATTCCTTCTGTGCTTATTAAGCCTGGATCTATGTTCACTTTATGCGCACCATTGTCAGGCAGAAGCCACCTCCCTTGATTCTTCCTCGCAGGTGCTCTTAGTGTACGCTGCATAAAGATCTATGAGAAATGGTAATGTTTGTGCATGCTCTATGAACACTGGCCACTACAATTTTATTTCTTCTGTGATCCCTGCTAGAACATGGTGTATCTTTACAACTAGTATCCATATATCCAAAAACACATTGCCAAATAGAGTATATCCCATGGCATCTTCTTCTTCGTCATTTGGGCTTTTTCTTGCTTTCTTCTTATAAGGGGTGTTTGGTAACATAGAAAAGTGTTTTTTAGCAAAACGAGACAGACTCCTCCACATATTTATTTTGTATACCGTAAAAGTACTTTTAAAATCATGATTTGGCTTCCATCCAAACATCGTTGTAGATCTTCCACCTTCACCATTTGATCCACCGGTTGAAGCTCTTAATTGAAAAAGTTGAGTGTGTCCCTCTAGATTTGATTTTTTTTCTTTGTTTGGTTTAATTAGAGGAAAGCAAAATGTGAAGACAAAGACGAAAGAACCCCCCAAGGGGTCAACAAAAATGTCAGAAAGAAAGATAGTTTGATGAGTAAATTTATAGCCAGTGGGTAAGTGGTTTAGTTTGGCGTTGAAATCTGAGGACCCACCTTGGTTTGTTGTCCCTTGTAACTCCACCACAAGAACTCCTTCCTTTCATTGAGCCGCATATATCCAATCTTAGCGCGCAGATATTATGTTTGTGCCTGGCAAAAAAAAAAAAAAAAAGTACTATGCGCAACATAATTTCTCTCCGTATTTGGTGGTATATTTAATCCCTAATATATTTTTTCCAGGTACATCTAATTTTTTGTTGGAATCCTTCTTTTCTTCAAATGAAATGAACAGAGTACTTTTTTAGTACAATTTTACATTTAGCAATATATAATGCTTGATGTACTAAAAAATAATTTAGAATGCTAAAGACACTGAAAATATACAAAATATTTTAAGGTGCTATGTATTTGAAATACATTATAAAATATTTTAAGATACCAAATGTTTCAAGAAAAATACTTCAGCTTGCTTAGACAACTTAACTCAAAAATAATTGCTTCTGTATAGAAGGCTTCGAAGTTTGAACGGATGTTTAATTCAAAACTAATTGTCTCTTAACTAAAAAATAAACGCCTGTTTTACTGTATGGAAGGCTCCGAAGCTTGAACCGACGTGCAAAAAGATCCGACAATTTATTTATTTATTTATTTTAAAAAAAGCGCCCCGCCCCACCCCAAAAAAAAGTCCGAGTTGACAAAAAAAATTAGGTAAGTTATTGAAATGCTCCTGTTATACTCAGGCAAAAAAAAAAGAAAGAAAGAAATACTCCTGTTATGTCTGTGCTTAGTATTTGACTTAATTATAATTGTAGAGTTGGTCTTTATTCTAAATATAAGACTTGTTTGTTATATTTATCAAATTTTTTTAAATCACCCATATTGATACTTATTTAACTATAATCGAGTAAGAGAAGGATTGAGGATATTAATAATGATTATTGAAATTTTTTATTAAAAAAATATCATATTTATTATAATTAACAAGAAGGTGTTCAGATAAAAACCAAATCATGATTTTAAAAGTAATTTTATGTTGTAAGAAGTAAATATATGGAAGAGCTTGTCCTGATTTGTGAAAGTACTTTTTAAAAACATTTTTGAGGTGTTACAAACATCTTCAAATTATATAATTTTTTTAATCTAATCAAATTAGATAAACAATTAATATTTTTTAAATATGAAAAATCAGAAAATCAATTTACAGCCCATTTTTTCATGGCAAAAAAAAAAAATTTACTGCCCTTTTTCATTATCCAATGCAAAAATCAGTATGCCGCGTGTACACCACTCGGCAGTCCGTAATGGATGCGAACCGAATATTTGTTGTTTTTAATTAAAGCTGATCCTCCACAGCAGAAAAACAGACTTGATAACTTGTCTGTTTAGCTTTAAAAAAAATCAAATATTACAAAATAAAGATGATATCTTCACAGTCATACTCACAGAAATTATGAAAAAAAAACTAAGACTTGATCAAAATTATAGTAAAATAAAAGGTGCCCATCCCACGAAGAAGAGGATCGCAGGAGAGGAATTATTGGTAGAAGCAGCAGGAAAAGTATCCGTTGTTCCAGTCATGGAAGAACGTGAAGATGAACTGAATACTTGCATAAATAATATGAAAACACGAAAAACAGAAGCAAATATGACCGTTGGACCGTCGGACCGTCCGTGAGATGAGATGTAACCGTTAAGATCTCGGGCGTTCCGCAACAAACTTCCATTATATATCTTCCTCATCCTCTTCTCACTTTCCATATCCAAGCTATCATCTTAACCTCTTCTTCTCACTTGGCTCTCTGCAACTTCTAATCATCTGCTCTCATTGTCCGCTGAATTGACTTTGTTCGATCACTCTCTGCTTGATTCCATTTTACATTTTATTCTGCTCTTTCTCTCTGCAACTTCTAATTAATTAATTATATCTGTCTCACTTATATTTTGATTATTTTAGTTGTTATACTCTTGTGAATTTATCTGCATTTGAATCAAGAAAGCAATGGCGGAATCAAAAGACTCACACATAGTGGAAATCCCAGTGGACTTGGAGCATGAGCAGAAGAAGCTCCTCCCTGCGATTTCCAATATTGCCGAAGCAATTGAAGACCACCCACTCACTGAGATCTCGGAAAGCCCAGGCCACCTCTTGCTCCTGAAACTGTGGCAGAGAGAGGAGGAAATCTTCGGGAGCAGAATTGCTCACAAAGAACTCCGAATGGACTCCATCAAGCGCGATCTCTTCCAACTCTCTTCCTTCTTCTTCATCTTCCATTTCCTCTTCTTCACACTCCTATTTACATCCTCCGTCAACGAGGACGGCGGATCTTGCGGGAAATGGTGGATACCGTCGGTGATATCCGCGGCGACGTCGGCGGTGTTTATAATTTTGGTTCAGGTGAAGGTGAACGCGTACTGGAGAAAGTGGAGGGAGGTGAAGAAAGAGAGGGAGGCGAGTCGAGGCGTGACGAGATGCGTTCAGGAGCTTAGGATGAAGGGGGCGAGCTTCGATCTGTCGAAAGAGCCGAATCAAAATGGCGGAAAGAAGATGAAGAGCTCGAGCGTGGAGATCAAGTGGAAGCCATGGAGTTGGTGTTGTAAGAATTCACTAACCATTTGTCTTGTTTGCTTTTCAGGGCTCGCCGCCCCTGCTTCCAAGTTTGTTCTCTGTGGCTTCTGATTCTGCTCCTGAAACTTTTCCATGCCGATCAACACTGAACAATGGTAATCTTCAAACTTGTGTGTCATTGCTTAATTTTGCAATGATAAGCCTAAATTAAGAAAGACTTTAAGCTATCTGAGTTGATTTAACTCGAATCCGGTCCAACATGAATAGGGATGAAGCAATTTGGGTCCGATTAACCAATTCTTACCCTTTTGGAGTCGCTGCAACGAGCGAAACACTGACGAACAAGATGATGGAAGGCATCAAATTTCAGTGCATTAATGCACGGATCAAATGTTGAAGGGATGCGGCGGAGCCATATGATTCTGAGCAGCAACCATCAAGCATTAAAGGACATGGCTGAATCATGCGAATGCTACGCAAGAAGAGTGACAAGACAGAGATTACTTTTTTGGCCTGAATGAGAAAACAGATAAAGAGATCACTTTCAGTATTTTCAAAAATACTATAATCCAAATCCGTGGCTGAATCTAAGTTCGGATTGCCAATATGATGAAAAGCATATCACACTTCTTGTGTGTGTGGAGTTTTTGAAGGCGCCATTGTAGCTCACCATGGAAATATTATGAAAAAAGAAGCTAAGGACTCCTTTCTCGTGTACCCAATTTCAGCAAATAATAAGATAAAGATGTCAAGTTGAAGCATTTTAAGCCTTCATATTATCGTTGTTGCTGAATTTTTTAGTCTCTTTGGATATTGGACACCAAAACATGGTAAAATTGTATTAATTTAATATTATTTGAGGCTTTGTCTAAAAACAATGTCAAGCTGGGCCCTTGGCACCCTTGAAACGGAAATAAAATTAATATCTCGAGTGTTGAAGATCAGATGATATCTGGCGCTCTGAAAAAAGAAATAAAATTAATATTCTCAAGTTCCAACATAAAAATTTAAATTTGATTTATTTAATGAGTTGGCAAAAAGTGGAAATATCAAGTGTTGGAACACAAACTTAAAAATTGCTCAGGAAATAAAAAACAAGAAGAAGAGGAAGAAACTTAAAAGTGATTGTATGCCTGTAAATAACACTTTCATGGGCTCAAATAAGTTTTTATTCCCTGACTAGATTTGATTCGTTATTAAATATTAATCTCGAGCTCTATAAATAAAAACAGGCTGAACAAATTCGTCTGAAAAATTGAAAAATTAAAAATCGGTTTGGTCAAATCGTATAATCAGACAAAATTATATCAATCATGGCATTCAAAAAGAACCGAATCGAGGCAATTATTACTACTATTATTTTATCAAGTACTGTTATGTTGGGATAAATTTAGGATTCTAAAACGGTCGATTTTTTTTAATTAAAAATAGTTGAATTGAAATTTTACTACGTTTGGTTTGTCATTAACTTGGGAATTCAACTTTGATCATCAAACTCTCAATCTCGTATCGACCCCAAAAAGGGGTCAAAAAGCAAAGGCTGACATAATTTACTATTGTTGCTCGCCGTGCGAGTTAAATAACACTCGAACTGTAAGACAAAAACAGCAACAACAAAACCAAAACAAAACAAAACAAAACAAAAAGCTAAATATGCGCCTTCGGTGAAGACTAGGCACTTTCAAAGCCAAAAATTCGAAAAACACCTGCAAACAAAATGCAGAAAAGTTAGCCAGCCTTCTTGTGGATCCTCAGTTTCTAATGGAGCCTTTTACACAGAATAAGCATACCTTCATCAGCCTGGTACTTGTTTTTGTCATCACCAGCATATGCAAGTAAATTGTATTTGGGATTCCACTCCACGCTGTTCATGGCAGCCCTACATGGAATCTGATGCACCGTTCGTCCCGTGTGCACATTCGACTGTTTAAAAGGATTAACAGTTTAGACCAACAAGTTTGGTGTGCGTGTTCAAAGAATGGTAGGCTGGTCTAGCCTTTGAATAGCTCTAGTCAGGTACACTTACTATATCAATGAACAAGTCTTCACTAGCAGATGCAATATAATCACCGGTATAATTGAAACTAATTGTCCTCACAGGCCATCTGAGAAACACAAACAGAAAATAATTTCAGATTTGTTGTCACAAGCTATATATAGTAATTATTATTATTATTATTTGAAAAAACACAAGCTGAATCAAAAAATGAACATGAAAATCCAGGGGAACTCACTCAAGCTTTGTAAAGGTACGCACACAGAGCATCTCAGAGATATCCCACAGGCTGACTAGGGAATCAGCACTTCCAACGGCAAAATATCTGCCTCAGTAACAGGAGGTTACTATTTGAGTATAGCTTTTCATGTTTGCTAGTTTATATGAATGATTTACATCCTATTGAAGTAAAAGAAGAAAGAAACCTAAAATACAACACAGATTAGTTTTAAGAATCTGCTATGAAATTATGCATTCGATTCTTACCTTGACAATCTAAATACAATTAACAACAACACAGATAGAAGAAGCGTACCTTCCCACTGGATCAATAGCAATGCAATAACAACCAGCAGTATGTGCCATGAGGGTATCCAGGGGCCGCAGAGATGGGTAAGCCAATACTTCGACAGTCCCTAAATTAGGGAACAACCCATGGAAAATAAGATTCAATCTTGGCAGTACAAAAGACCAAGAATCAATTCAATGAATGATCTCACCATTTCCTGTTGTTAGAAAGAACATCTCTCCTGTCATGTTCCAGGCAATCTCATTCACCTAGAAAGTTGGAGGGAATGATCAGGATTTATTTAGTATATTGGAGCAAGTAGTTGGAGTTGCGCAACATATATGCCAAGGGTAGATAAGTTAAAGTCAATTCTGTTCCAAAATGCTTATCAATCACACATCTAACATTTGAGTAATGTATACTGGGAAAAAAGGGAATATTGTGCGCTTATCGTATTATCTAATCATAGATGGGTACAATTATGAACTCAGAGAAATTTAGGCTTCAGTATCTATGGTGGACCACTTTAAAGGATATGAAAATAAAGAGGAGCTGAATCCCACAACAGAAAACAAGACCTAGAAAACACAGGCGGTGAAGAAAGTAAGTGCAAGTGCTGAGGAAGCTGGATCAAGATTACAATAGCAACACTCAAAAGAACTTGATCGATTGAAAGGCTACATGCTTAATCTTAGATTTCCTCTTTTTCCCCTATTAGCAAACCATGTTCTGTTCCAAAATCCTTGAAACTTTAATTGGTTTGGTGGTAAAACCTCAACATTTCTTTTAACAAATGCATCAGGTCTCAAGGGATGGAGGATGCAAATTGACAGAGCATTTTGATCCCATAATAAAATAAATGTAATTTGCACTATAACTAACAAGCCCATTATGAGGACAGTAATTTGAGCTCTGATTCCAGAATATCACGGGTGGTTTTAAGGCCAAGAGAATCAAAGTAATTAAGTAGCTAAAATAATTTCGTCAATTATATGAGTACGGACCAATGCTCATTCACAGTACGTGTGAAACTAGAAGAAATTTATATAAAGACAAATTTATGAAAATTTCCAAAGTTCAGTTTTAATAACTCCCTTTAACTTGAAAGATAAAATGTCAGAAATAGAACAAACAACAAAAAACAAACCTATAAAGTAGACAATACCTCATAACTGAACTTGCGTCTATGAATTGGTTTAAACTTCCGTACGTCCAGTATTGTCAACTCATCATCCTATGAATCACAACAACAAAGTAGACTTAGAGTGTGTTTGGAAATCTATTAATCTTTTCCAAAATGTGGTGTTGGCTAAAGTAATGTCAGAGTAACTTTGTCTCAAAAATTGTAAAATCCCATTTGCAATGAGAAACCAAGCAAGCTATTACATACTTAAGGGAAGCAAGAGAGTTATAAGAAAAAGTCTAGCCAGTAACTACCAAAGCTCAATGGTTTCAGAGCAGGAAGCAATTAAAAGATGCCCAAGATATAGCCACCACTGAAATGTCCACTCACAGTATCACCGTTTCAGAGCTTTCAGTGAATGAAAGGAGTTGAACAACATACCCTATTACCTACAGCTACGTGAGTCCCATCAGGTTTGTAGGTGATGTTAATATTCTCCCCAGTAAGTTCTGCCTGTTGCGAGCACTTTCCACCTGCAGAAGCCAAATATGACAAAGCATTTTGTCAAATCGTTCTTGGCACCATACATTCGAAACTAACTCAAAGGAGGAAAGTCGAAAATTTTTCTAACTATTACAAAGATATTTTTTATCAACAAAAACATTGATCTGATCTTTCCATTAAAATGTTTACAAATGATAAAACCATTTGTCTGCGGATTTCAATATTTACATAAGGTTAATTGTCAGGAAGATCTGAAGATAATTCAAAGTATTAAGATAGTATAACTTCAATTTGTACTATGACAAATCAGAATAAAACTGAATAATCACTTACTACGAGCATCCCACAAACGAACAGTCTTGTCTCCAGATGCAGTTGCAATCAGATCAGCATGTTTGGGATCCCAACATAGCTGATCCACACTATCAGTGTGACCCTTCAATTCAATGTCTTTGACCTTACCCTAAAATAAAACCCAACCCCAAAAAGAAAGAGAAATAAACAAATTTTCAATCACATTAAAAGAATGAGAAAGTAAGAATTATCTGCACTAACATTAATAGTGACAACCAACAATATAAGAAAACCCCAGACAAAAAGGTGATAAGAAAACAAAGTTAAAGTTAAAACATAGATGTGGTCACCCAAACCATGTACTTGAGCATTTATTTAAGAAAAAATATAATTCTGGACTAATCGGCGCTGACTATATGAATCTTTGAGTAAATGAACCAAAATTCTCAATATGCATTCTGATTCAAATCCTTCCGAAACCAACAAAAGAAGTTGTCTCAGAACACTTTTCAAAACGAACAAAAGTTAACACATTCCTTAGTAACCTTAAAACAGAATCTGTCCATTTTTGAGTCAGAATGTAACTTCATCCTCTCTCCTGTCTATTGACATCATCTGGAAATTCTCTATGCTTATAGCTTTTGCCTCTCTGCCTTTTTCAATGACTCTATCCATTACAGCAAACAATTTCCCTAGCGTCCAAAGTCCAAAACTTTCATGGATTTAACTTCCAGTGTAATCAGCCCTTCCCATGATAATCTGTTATCTGTCACGATAGTAATTTCCACCCTTGCTCATACGGCCAGGCTTCCGTCATTCTTTACCAAATGCATTGATTTGATAGCTTATCTCCAGAAACCATTTTGTATATTGCCACCACAATGGTTCAATTTAAAGTGATTTGGTGGTTTAGACAGTGAATTTATAGTATAGCTAGAAGAAGTAGAAAGAGAGAGGAAAAAGAGAAAATGGAGTGCCAATGCTATTAATACCAAGTCAGGATGCTAAATAGAACGTACCCTGCACACAACTACTAGACAAGGTGAAAAGAAAGATCGTCCCTAACTATGTTCTGAGCAATGCAAAGTCTTAAAAAATTAAAGGAAAGAACAAGAAGTCCAAAGGGGAGGCATTTTACATGTCCGTGTGGCTCAATATACCATACTCGAGCAGTTTGGTCCACAGAACCAGAAGCAAGCTTTGTGCCAGTGCAATTCCAGGCCACTGAGTGCACCTTTCAGAAAAGGGAGCAAAAATACTCTCTTAGAATTGAAACGTAAACAGACATAGAAAGCTACTTTCGTAGAAATTCAACGATATGAAGCAGAAAATATTACGCCTGTGGGGTTCGGACAGGTTTACAATTACCATCAGAAGAGCGAAGGAAATACCTTCTTTTTGTGGCCTGAGTACTCTCTGCTATGTAGATTCTTAAATGGGAGCTTTTCTTCCATCGCCAAACCAACGAATCTGGAACACCTTTAGGCTTAACAGGAAAATTCCGAAAAATTGAAATGGTTACAGTGCAGCAGAGTAGGGATTGCAGATGCCGTTATTTTCCAGCCGGAACAAAAAGCATTATTTCGTAAAGTATTTCAGAAGTTTGGGTCTAAACCAAATTAGACAAAAATTGACCTTGCCCAAAACTGCTATAAAATATTCAAGTTGTCCAGTTTGATCCTTTCTTATTTTTGATAAAATTATAAAATAGTTTATGAAATCATTTTGCTCGTAAAACTTTATTGTATTTTGAAAAAAAGATTATAATTATATAAGACAGTATTGATAATCATCGACATATCAAATGATCGATATAAAAGCTCATAAAAGCCACACTAAAGTGTTATGCAAATTGGGCTTCTACAAAATGCATAAAAAGTCAATATAAAAGATTTTTGTTATGCCACTTTGTTGTGGCTCCAGTCACGGAGTTGGAGGGGTATCATCACAGTATAGTGAAACTGGAAGATTCTCACCTATTGAGCTAAAAAAAAAAAAAAGACTTGCTTGTCATATTCTCGTGTCTGTAGGGACAGACCTCAGTAGATCAAGTGTTAGGTGCCTTGCTTTTAAATCGTGGATGAACCCAACTCTTTTTCTAAAATTCTTGTATATAAAAAAAAAAGCTGAGATTTTGAGTTGGTTGTGAGGACTGAAAATTGCATGAGCGCTCTAAGAATTTTGGTAATTGGCCTCAAGGAACTATGAGGACTGCTTCATGAAGCTATCTGGGGCGGGGGAGTCCACAGACTTTTACTGAAAAAAATTAGCATAAACCTGTTACTGTGTTATTGATATGTTGTGAGTCATCTTGTTTGTTAGGGGTTTTTTTGTTACCCTTCATTTAAGAAAAGTAACCCACACGTCCATCATAGGGTCCTAATTACAACTTCATCTTTAAGAAAGACTTGAAAAAACAGTGTTATTCGGTAAAAAAAAAAAAGTGGGTCAAAAAGTTGTAACTATTAGATACGTAAATTTATATAACCTTCTTTTTCCTCTTGTTATTTTGGAACTGATATTACCGTTTCAACCAAAAAAAAAAAAAAAGAATTGGCGGACAAGGAGATAGTTAATTCACTTTAATCAAAATTTCAAACCTTATACATGAGAAAAATTATTACTACTTATTGTATTTAATATAAAACACAGTTGCCTTACTCACAAATTGATAGTATAATCTAACGATATATATAACTATTTTAGAAAGCATTTAGTAATTTTATTAATCTTTTCAAATTAGTCAATCAAGTCTTATATTGAAAATTGGGTGGTAGTATCATTTGAGACTAATAAGAGGATAATCTCACTTTGAATTGGATAATGATTGAATCTACATTAAATAATACTACTCATTAATATATGACCTAATTAATTAATTTGAGTAAATTAAAAATGTTAGTTAAATTAGTTAATACGATATATTATTTCTAAAAGACCTAAACATCTCTCTTAATTTTCTCTCTTTTTCTTCTACTTAATTATTGTTACGAGGAAAACAATATGATTAATTTGAAAAAAAAATGATAAACATATGAAATAAGTATATAAGACCAATATTAAATTTCTAATTAAGTTTAATATTTAAGATAAAAGATAAGATGAGTATAACAAAATAGTCATTTTATTCCAAATAAAAAAGGTCATCACAGTTAAAAAGATGTCCAACCCCAACATGATTCAGCCTTACTTTGATTTGATGAAACTGTCCACACAAGACGAACGACGAATTAAGAATCTGTAAACATCAAAGTTTCTCCAGCCGCAATTTCAGCCTACACTTCCCTCAAGTAAACGAATCACTTGCCATATGACGTAAAACATTTTTATATGGCAAAATTATTCTCTCTTTTAACCATCTGCATGACATTTTTAGGGTCTCTCGAGTCTCCAACAATCCTATATACGATCTAACTGAACAAAGATGAAGAGAAGAGTAATATTACTCATGTGTTCTTTTCTGTTTTCCTCTTCATTTGATGATTGATGGCACAATCATGGAGAAAATTCACGTCCAAGTTCAAGGAGCGCCATCAATGGAAGGCGCAATTACAGTGTAGAACAGAAAATTGTAAAAGATAGTGAATAAAACGAGAACAACTGCGGTATAACCCAGAAACGAGTCTGATATCTCGAACTCCTTCTCTCTCGTATTGACGCTACTCTTCGCTTTTTCTGCTTCTTCGAATTTCACATCTGAGGCTGCATAATATGATAAAACAATTACAAATTAAATTTCAATTTCGGATTCCCAAAACTGTTAGTTGCGAATCGAACTCACAAGAAAGGTGAAGCCAGTTCAGAGGTTAATCTACGACGAAGTTGTGTCGGAGAGAAAGAGAGTACCTCTGAGTTTCGGGGAAGAGACTTGCTTAGTGGAGAGAGACTGAAGCTGCTGGTCAAGCTTCTGGAGGGCTTCTCTGGCCTTATCTTTGTCAATCTCATATTCTTGTGGCTCTGAATCTTCCTTTTCCTTCGTCATCGCCTGAACTCGGCAACAAGAAGACGAAGAAGAAGGAGAAGTAGGATTTCGCTTTAGAAGCTTCAATTCCTTCAAATCCAATGGTCTGATCTTCTGAAATAGCAAGAGGGGTGGATGCTTATGGAAACTTACAAAGTTCATCGACGTCATTTCAGCCTCCCAAGAAATGGAAACCCGCTGAACTAAGGATAACGCTCCGTCTTCTTGAGTCTGGTACCTGGCAAGGGAGGGCAATTTTGTTAAAATATGAAACATAGGGGGGATATTTTGGTCATTTCGTTGGAATGATATTTGTACTGTTATCAAGCAGTACACCGGAGAAGAAAATGAACGTATCAATGTTTTAGTGGGATATGTTTATCAATTTTTTTGAAAATTGATCTTATTAATATTTTATTCAATAATAATTAAATACAAAAAAAATTGAAAAAAATGTTCAGGATAATTTTAAAAATATATCATATTAACTCTTTTAACTAAAATCTTTAATCTTTTTAAATTAGTTAATTAAATTTTACATTAAGTATCAGAAGTATTATATAAACAAAAATAGCAAAATATTTAAAAAATTGATAAAAAATTATATCAAATGTTTAATAAGTTACTATGTTCGGTCATTAATATAAAATTAGTTGATTAATTTAAATATATTAAAAAAATTAGTTAAATTAATTATTTGTAATAATAAATATTTTTTTAAAATATCTTTGCTAATCATATCTATAAATTATTATTTAATAAAATATTTAATAAATAGTATGTAACTACTATAAAAATTATCTTTAAAAAAATATAAAAAATGAAATAAACTAGAATGTTATATTTAAAATTATTATTGATAGTAGAATTGGAAGCAGCACCTCTTTCATTCATTAATGCACAAAACTCACACCACTTTTACAGTAAAAACATAAATAAAACACATTGAAGTGAGAAAAAAACAAAGTGAAATCTTTTTATTCTCTTATAAATAAATTGATAAACTCGAGACATAATCAGGCGTTGCCATGTGTCCACGATGATTAGCCTTGTAAAGATCGCAATCGCATTGGGTTATTGTTGGATATTTACGTTAGCAGTAATTAAAAAAAAAAAAAAAAAGAGGAAGACCCATACACACACAACTGGTGACAAAAATCATGAAAATTAAAAAAGCAGAGGAGCGCGTGTGCGACTGGGAGAAGCTGAGATGAAGAAGTCAGCAGTAGAGTAGAAGAGAGTGCGACGGTCTTCAGCAGCCACCCAGAATGGAGGCAGAGATCCCACCCTCCGACACTCCTCCTAGGGTATTCCTCTTTCTCCCTTTGATCTGCGAATTTCTTCAGAAAATGCTACTATCCCAATCCAAATGATAAATGTTTTACGGAGTTGCAACTTAATCTTCACTAGTTTACTGCTGGAAGTTTCACTGTAGTGGACTTCTCATCCTATGGCACGCAATATAGGTCTTCCATTTTGGTGATCTTATCAATTTAGGAGTCGAGTTGTGTAATGGTAAGATTTAAAGAATTTATGTCTGCATATCTGATGAAAACAGGTTTACTAGTATTGCTTCGCTTCTTTATTTTTGGCCGAGGGTAAATTGTTTT